TTCTGGGTGTTCGGCGAGGAGACGTTCACCATCGGCGGCATCGCCGACCTGGACCGGCAAAACCAGCGCTCGCTGACGGCGCAACAGGTACGTGCGGCGCCGCCGCCACCCGCCTGACGCGCGCCGCCCACGTCCGCAGGTCAGCCGCAGCCGGAGCCGGTGATCACGCGCGAGCCGCGCAACCTGACGGTCGAGGCCGGCGCCACGGCCAAGTTCGTATGCCAGGTCACATCCAGCCTGCACTCGGTGCTCGAGTGGAAGCGGCACCCGGCCGCCGCCGCCGCTAACTCCTCCGGACACTCGGACGGCCCCGACGGCCAGGGTCTCAAGGTAGCGGGTCTGCTCGCATGCCTGCACGCCGCCGCACGCCGCCTGCGCATGCTGCACGCCGCGGCTGATGCCGCAGTTCGCAGGTTACTCGACACCGGTCGTCGCGGCGCCTCGGCGTCTCCGCTCGACTGGCCGGCCCTTCGTGGCTCGCGGAGGAGGAGGGAGGAGGAGCCGCCGCTGCTGCTGCTGATGCCATTCCAGCTGACAAGGCGCATGTTCTGCTGATCCGACTAGCATGCATGCGGTGTGGAGCGTGGCTGCCGCAGTCTTTCACGCGGGTTCTTTTGACACCGGCTAACTCGCACCGAAGCTGCTGCGTCCGGACAGTACCGGCCGCAGGGTAGCGCGGTCTGCCGTCCGCCGCCTCGGAACCAGAGTAGGGTCCAGTCGGGGTGGGGGCGATTCCTCTCGCTCCGCCGGCAGCATGGTGACCCGGCACGGGCTCCTCCGTGGTGCACCGCGGTCGAGCCTGGCTGGAACACGCTCGCCCCCGTCTCTCCTGGCCCTCTGGCCCGCTACCCGCCGTACCGAGCAAAGCTCCCACCGGATCGCTCGCCGACGGGCACCAACAGAGGACGCCGCGCTGCTGCATCCCGCTGCTACCGCTGTTCCCGCTGTCCGTCCTTGCAGCGCGGCTCGAACCTGAGAGCTCGGGCGGCGTCTCCGGTGCACCTGCCCGGGAGACGCCACGCAAGGCCGGGGTGCCAGCCTGCTGGCCGGCTCCGACCCGGTCCGGATTGTTGCCCGTGTCAAAACACACTGGTCGGCGGCCGAGAAGCGGTATGCCGAACAGACAATATTTGGCCAACAGGCCGGCCTGCCGGCGCCGTTGTGACTGCTCGGCGGCTGGAATCTCGCGGCACGCGGCCGGTTTATTTCGGGCGGCCGTCGGCGGGCCCGTGACCTGCTCTAAATCCCCTCCCCGTGGAGTTGCGGGGGGAGGATTTTTGGTGGACCGGGCCGACTTTGAAATGCGAAGTAGGAGTTCTACGTTCTAAGTATAGAGTTGATGAAAGATTAAGCCTTATGCACGCACGCGGGAGCACTCAGAAGCTTTCACAAGGGAGGACGGCCACGGCTCTGATCGGGATTGGCCGTGGGCAGAGGGCGTGACCCTGGCCGGGGGCGGGCCCTTTGATACGCCGTCCGGCGCCGCGTGCACCGACAGCCGGAAATAGGGCCGATCACGGCCTGTCTGACGCTGACGACCGCTGACGGCGTGACCTGGGCTGGCCGTTGCTCAGATGCCCTGCACTGTGACGTCACGGGGCATGGGCGCACGCGGGGTTCCAGGTAGGGTTGAGGGCTAGGCTCCCCTGAAGGACTGAGGCTGCGTTCAGGCGGGGAATGAGGCTCTTTTACGTGGCTGGGGGTGTGTTCGGCTGGTGACACCGTTCTGACGCAGTGCCGTGGCGGCCCGCCCCCCCCCCCCCGTTATTGTGTCCTGGCGGCGCCCCTGCGGCGGGCCGCCCGATCGCGCCCCACCTTGCCGGCCCTAGGTTACTCAGACGGGCTGCGCGACGCCGTGTTTTCGTTGGAGGCCGGCCGCGCTCTAAGGAGCGCTGCCACGCGCGGAGTCGCCTCTGACGTGAGCGGCTACCGGCCGAGCTGAGCGGCGCCTCTCGGTGCAGGCCGCGCCGCGAAGGAACGGCTTTTTAAATGGCGACAACGCACTGGCCTGCGGCGTCGCCTCACTCAGCAGGGGGCGGGACGAGTCTGCGGGACGGCGGGAGGGGGGGGGGGGGGGGGGGGTGCGTGGAACGGCGCCCGTCAGAACTTTGGGGACCGTGGGGGCGGGACCGCCGCACCGGACAGTAAGCACGCCCTCCCCCGCAGTCAGCCTTGCTGAACTCGTGAACGGGCTTAGCGGCCGTTTTAAAGAAGGCCGGCTCTAGCTTAGACAATGGGCGCCGAGTGGAGGCGCGCGGCAGAGACTGACCAGCATCCGTAGTTGTCTGCCGCGTGTTTAATCCCGCGACTGAGCCCGCTGAATGCTGAATGGTGTTCGTGTGTTGTGTGCCTACGTCCAACGACCGTATACCACGTGAAACATGACGCGCTTCGCATCGTCCCTCGTCCTGACCGGCGGGCCGCTCAAACCGCTCACGCCTCCGCCGGGCCGGCGGTGTGGCTGTGAGTGTTGTCGCTGGACACTGTCCGCCGGCGCCGAGCTCACGGGTTAACCGGCGACACGTCAGCGGCCTCAAGCCGTCGGTCCCTCGTTCATGTCGGATATTCGGTGTCGGATGTGTCTGATTACACGGCCCGTCGACAACGTCTCACCCGATTAGGATGCCGCAGTCGTGCTTGATGAGGGGGGCTCTCGGCCGACGGGCCGGACGGCGAGTGCCCTTCCCCGCCCGCTGACTGTTGCCCGCTGACCGTCGCCCGCTGACCGTCGCCCGTCGCCCGTTCCCCGTCGCCCGTCCCCCGTCGCCCGTCGCCCGTCGCCCGTCGCCCGTCCCCCGTCGCCCGTCGCCCGTCCCCCGTCGCCCGTCGCCCGTCCCCCGTCGCCCGTTCCCCGTCGCCCGTTCCCCGTCGCCCGTTCCCCGTCGCCCGTTCCCCGTCGCCCGCTGACCGCCGACCGTCGCCCGTCGCCCGTCGCCCGTCCCCCGTCGCCCGTCGCCCGTCGCCCGTCGCCCGTCCCCCGTCGCCCGTCCCCCGTCGCCCGTCCCCCGTCGCCCGTCGCCCGTCGCCCGTCGCCCGTCGCCCGTCGCCCGTCCCCGTCCCCCGTCGCCCGTCCCCCGTCGCCCGTCGCCTGTTCCCCGTCGCCCGTTCCCCGTCGCCCGCTGACCGCCGACCGTCGCCCGTCGCCCGTCGCCCGTCCCCCGTCGCCCGTCGCCCGTCGCCCGTCGCCCGTCCCCCGTCGCCCGTCGCCCGTCGCCCGTCGCCCGTCCCCCGTTGCCCGTCCCCCGTCGCCCGTCGCCCGTCGCCCGTCGCCCGTCGCCCGTCGCCCGTCCCCCGTCGCCCGTCGCCCGTCGCCCGTCGCCCGTCGCCCGTCGCCCGTCCCCCGTCGCCCGTCGCCCGTCCCCCGTCGCCCGTCCCCCGTCCCCCGTCGCCCGTCGCCCGTCGCCCGTCGCCCGTCCCCCCTCGCCCTCGCCCGTCGCCCGTCGCCCGTCCCCCGTCGCCCGTCGCCCGTCCCCCGTCCCCCGTCGCCCGTCGCCCGTCGCCGTCCCCGTCGCCCGTCGCCCGTCGCCCGTCCCCCGTCGCCCGTCGCCCGTCCCCCGTCGCCCGTCCCCCCGTCGCCCGTCGCTCGTCCCCCGTCCCCCGTCACCCGTCCCCCGTCGCCCGCTGGACCGTCGCCCGTCGCCCGTACCCCGTCGCCCGTCCCCCGTCCCCCGTCGCCCGTCCCCCGTCGCCCGTCGCCCGTCGCCCGTCGCCCGTCCCCCGTCGCCCGTCGCCCGTCGCCCGTCCCCCGTCGCCCGTCGCCCGTCCCCCGTCCCCCCGTCCGCCCGCTGACTGTCGCCAGTCCCCCGTCGCCCCGGTCCCCCGTCGCCCGTTCCCCGTCGCCCGCTGACCGCTGACCGTCGCCCGTCCCCCGTCGCCCGTCGCCCGTCCCCCGTCCCCCGTCGCCCGCTGACTGTCGCCCGTCCCCCGTCGCCCGTCCCCCGTCCCCCGTCGCCCGCTGACTGCCGTCGCCCCTGACCGTCGCCCGTCTGACCGTCGCCACTGGCTTGCCGGCTGCGCAGGACGGCGGCCCGCTACGATATCTCGGACCCGCAGCGGCTGATCATCAGCAACGTGACGCTCAACGACACCGGCTTCTACACCTGCGTCGCCTACAACACGCTGGGCTACACCCACTCGCACGCGTACCTGACCGTTCTCGAGCGTGAGTGACCGGTGTTGGGATGGGTGTGTCTGCTGCTGGGACGGCTCGGCTTCCGGCCCGGCGGCGTGTTTGTTAGTGTGGTTTGCTTCTGAGGTGTAGCACAACATCGCCTAGCTGACGGCGAGTACGGAGCTGGGCGGAGGCGGGTTATATATAGAGGGCGATGGGCGTCCAGGTCCGTTGCCGAGTCTAGGGCGGGCCGATTAGTTGTCAGGATGTTGGGTTTTCGGCGAGGATGTGGCTCCTGGCAGAGCCGCGCTCGCGGTAATCGACCTGAGGATTCGCGACCGTGGTATTCTTAGCGGAGCTATGCGTCGTCGCATCCCTAGCGTCGCGTTTTGCATCCAACATGTCTAACGTTTATGAGGTATCTACCCGGAGTTTGTACGTTTAGAAAGCCTCATGTGGGACCGGTTCACCACCCAAGGCCCATTGTCATAATTGTATGTAACTTGTAAGGTATCCGTTGTTGGTATATTCAAAGGCTGTATCGACAACTGAGCGCGAAACTGAGTCCGGACGTCCTCTAGAGCGTGTATATCCGCACCGGCGCTCTGCCTTGTCACGTGGCGTTAACCGTCCCCAGTCCGGGCAATTAGCGCTGTTGCCGCCTACCGAGCCGACATCTGAAGGCTGCGCGTGTCGCGGACGTGCCGTCGCGCCGTACCTGCAGTGTGTCACCGGCCTCGGCGGAGCCCGACCTTGCTGCCGAGCCGTCCGCTGGCCGCCGGGCTGACAGGCAGCGGCCGCCGAGCGGCTGTCGGCGCCGATCACCTCGTGCCCCTCCCCTTCTGGCCGCGTGACGTCAATCGCCCCCCCCCCCCTCCCTTCGCCGCAGCGCTGGACGAGGTGCCCGTGCCGGTGCGCTCGCACTTGCGCAACTACGTGATCCTGATCGTGGTGCTGGGCCTGCTGGTGGTGATGGGCGCGCTGGCGGCCGCCCGCTTCTACGGCCGCCTGCGCCTGGAGCGGCGCGAGAAGAAGCGCGCCGTCGAGAAGGCCAACGCCTTCCAAGCCATGACGAAGAAGGTGCTGATCGACCACCAGAACATGCTGGCCAATGGGACGATCGTGGCGCCGACGATCCGCATCGAGCGCTGCAAGTGAGTCGCCGGGCTGTTTGTTGGTTTGGCGACGGCTGGTTGGTTGTTTGGAGACGCATCAGTCGGCCGGGTATTAACGCCGCGCCGGTTTCGGACAAATAGGAGCCACCCAACGCGCCGTTGACAGCGATGACGCGGCGGGTTCCGAGCAGCCGCGTATTTATGCAGCGCATTAATCATCGCGCCGAGCGTCGCTGGACGGAAGTGAAGGCCGTCGGCACGGCTGTCGGCGCTGGCCGCCTCGTGCAACGTTGCAAGGGAGGTGAAAAGGGAAAAGTCTGGAAACCAGGCAGGCTGATTCTCTTCATTCTGGTTCATGTTTTTTTGTTGTTGTTGTTTAATGTCGTTAGCGTGTGCATGCGAATGTTGGACGGTTTTGACCATAGCTTCCTCTGCGTGAGCTTTTGTAATCCGTGAGTAGGTGCAGGTCCTCTCGCTACGCTTGCGGCCCTGCCGGCCCATCCCCATCGACACCCACCTGTTGCTCCGCCTTATCCCTACTTCACCTCCCCGCTCTCCCCTACGTTATCGTCCGCTCTCTCCCACGTCACCGCCCAGTCTCGCCACGTCACCTCGCCGCTCTCCCTTACGTCACCGCTCGCCTCCCCCCACGTCACCGCCCAGTCTCCCCCCACGTCACCTCCCCGCTCTCCCTTACGTCACCGCTCGCCTCCCCCCACGTCACCGCCCCGCCCGCCCCCGCCAGGCCCAGCAAGGAGGGCTCGGTAATGTCCGGGTACGAGCTGCCCGTGGACCCGCTCTGGGAGATCCCGCGCTGCCGGCTCCAGCTGGGCAAGCAGCTGGGCGAGGGCGCGTTCGGACGGGTCGTGCGCGGCGCACTCGACAACCCGGCCAAGCCCAACGCCTCCATCGTCGTCGCCGTCAAGATGCTGAAAGGTAGCGCTGCTGGGACGTGTTCGCGGGGGCAGGGAGTGTGGTTGTTGCTTGGGGTACTTCTAAGACCGCTGGTGGCGCCTCAGTCGGCGCCGGTGAGATACAAAGACGTTTTTGCTGGTCGACAGCCAGCTTATCTGGGTGTCGTGTCTGCCCCGTTGCCCCTTTGATTCAGGCGTGCTTTAAGGAAACGGGGGAAAATCAAGCTCGGTTGATACCCTCTCTGCTTACTTTGCACAGTGGGCATGCCTTCTCGGAACGTGCCTGCCTTGATCCACTTAACCTTTTGCCATTCCGAGACCCCTGCCGGCGTGCCGTGACCGGGCGTAATCCTGGCTGGCGCCGACAGAGGGTCACACTGATGCCGAGCTGCTGGACCTCGTCTCGGAGATGGAGGTGATGAAGATGATCGGCCGCCACATCAACATCATCAACCTGGTCGGCACGTCCACTCAAGACGGGCCGCTGCTGGTCATCGTCGAGTACGCGCCGCACGGTAAGTGTCGGCTCGAGGAGATGCTGAGTGGGAGCGGTGGCAGAGCCGTGGAGCGACTGCGGCCAGCGGCAGCTGCAGAGGATTGTCGCGCTCTCGGCATGTTCAGGGGGATGCTGAACGATACGCTGGCAGATGTAAAGGAGCTTTGATTGGCCATTGTCGGCTGCGGCGGCTGCGTGACCAGTGGTGACCCTGAGGAGTACGGCGTCAACTGAAGGCTCCAGTGGGCCTCTGTGTAACCAATTACGGCTCCAAGGAGTATGGTGCTAGCTTCGGGCTCCAGCGGACCGTTGTGTGACCAGCGGAGATGGTCCAGTCCGTCTGGTTGGTCGCGGCCTTCAGAGACGACATGCTCGTTGGCAGAGACGGCTCCAGTGGACAGGACGTGGGTGGCTGGCCTAGGCGAATAGGGGGATTTTAAACTCGAGGCCAGGTGGGCTGTCAAGCACCAACAAGTCATGACTGGTGCGTTGTGCTTCAGACATTTGTTGAAGAAAGCAAAACATCACTGCGACCATGAAAAGTCGAATCAAAGACCAGCCGACAAGCGATGCTCGGTTGCTGGCAATGCTCACGAACGATTCTGGCCTGGAAAACTATTCTGTTGTGCTTACGGGGCCTCAACCAGCACTGGCTAAGGCACATTCCTTTCATTTTTGCCCGGGAGTTGTCTGGAGGGTGGCGATCAACGTCGAAACAAATCGAGGCCTGTTCTTGGCGATGGATGGATTGTCTGCGATGTCAGGCGTCTGGCACGGTTTGCTGATTTGTTCCAACCTGCTGGTGCTGAGGCGGCGGCGAGCTGATTGCCTCGGCGCGCCTTCGTGGGCCATCAGTGTTCCCATCGGCCCTCCAGATGTGCGCGCTGCGGTCCGGCCGCCAGTGCGCGGCTGCGCGCGGGCCGTGTTGACCTCGCTGACACAATGCACGTGGAGGATCAGCTAGGTAGTCTGATTACGGACGACTTCGCCGTATCCCCGACCGTGCAGATGAAAGGTGTGCTGCCGTCGCGTCTTCATTCCTCTGGCTCCAGGAGTGTTGTGCATGCCAGCCAGTCTGTATGCGCTCAAAACGCGAGATGTGTCACCAGTCCAATGTCTCTGTCGTTTGCGCTCGGGTTCAGGCCCGCTCTCGCCCCGTTTTCGGAGCCTGTCCCGGTACCGGCCTGCCCCCCCCCCCCCCCGCTCTGGCGCCGCGAGGAAGCCCGTCCCGCGGCTGACGGTCGCTCGCCGCTGCAGGGAACCTGCGCACCTACCTGCGCGAGCGACGCCCCACATCCGGCTACGAGCGCGCCTTCGACCACGAGACGCCCAGCGTGCGCGAACTGACCAGCTTCAGCTACCAGGTGGCCCGCGGCATGGAGTACTTGGCCTCCAAAAAGGTGAGTGGTCTTCCGACGGCCACCGCAGGCTCTGCGCTCGTGTTGTGCGCGTCACGCGATGATGCCGCCTGTCGCTTCTGCGTCACAAATCAGGTGTCCAGGCAACCAGTGGCATTGTAAGTGCAAGTGTCCTTCGGCGCCGAGTTCTCGCGTGGTCTGCCCGGAAATGATTTGCCTGTCGGGTTAGTAAGCCCTTCAAACCCTTAGGGTTGCTAAACGACGGCACGGATAGAGAAGAGGGAGCGGGAGAGCAAGACCGGGCGAGAGGAGGGCAGAAACGAATGTGTACCCTGGATCGGGTTCAACGAAAGCGCCTCAACCCGAAGTTAAAGCTTGTCTTCCTTCTTTGAAGTTCCTTGATTATGCATGGCTCATCAAAATAACTCGCCTTCCCGAGGCTTCCCGCTGTCATGAACTGCTGCCATAAACGAGAACGCCGCTGAATTATTTCCGTGGTTTGTGCTTGCTGGCTGCTTACCTTCCTGGCGCTGCTCCAAAGGCCGCCTGGCCTTGGACACCGCCTGGTGACGACGCAGAAGCCGACCCCAACGCAAACCTCGGCCCACCACCAGACTTCGGCGCTCGCTCCCAGTGCCACCCGCCATGTCGCCACCTCGCACCCCCACGCCATGTGGTCTCACCCTGCACCTCCGTGCCATATGTTCCCACCTTGCACATCCACGCCATATGTTCTCACCTCGCACATCCACGCCATATGTTCTCGCCTCGCACTTTTACGACGTATGCTCTCACATCGCACCTCCGATGTTGCAGTGCATCCACCGAGACTTGGCCGCGCGCAACATTCTAGTCGGCGAGAACAAGACACTGAAGATCGCTGACTTCGGTCTGGCGAGAGACATCCAGAACAACGAGTACTACCGCAAGGTCACCGACGGCCGGCTGCCGGTCAAGTGGATGGCCCCTGAGGCGTTGTTCGAGCGACTCTACACCACCCAGTCTGATGTGTACGTTATTGTCGCCGGCCAGCAAATGCGTCTTGGCTGAACGATGTCATAGCCGTGACGTAATAACTCCGAATCTTGACGCCTGGTTTGGCTTGTGTTGGGTTTATTTGTGCCTCTCACTTCGTGAGCTTTTCACGGTTTTGTTCAGTTTTGTTTCACAGCTCACAGTTTTGTTTGTACACCTTCACTATTCAGACATCATTGGTGGTGTTTATTTATGCACAGAAGCCGGAGCTCCAAAGCTTGGTCTCCGCTCTCCATAACCGAGCCGGAACACGGACAGTTTCGCAGTGAAGCTCGAACCTTTGGTGTGCCGGCCACCATTCGAACGCCGAGGGCCCTCCGCCTGTCCCCTCTGAGGCTCTCACCTCGCGTGGGCAGCGACGTGACGTCTGCTGACGGCCCCGTCGCTCCCGCTCCGCAGGTGGTCGTTCGGCATCCTGCTGTGGGAGATCATGACGATGGGCGGCATGCCCTACCCCAGCATACCGAACGTGGAGAAGCTGTTCAGCCTGCTGCGCGAGGGCTACAGGATGGAGCAGCCACCCGGCTGCCCGCAGAACCTGTGAGTGACTCGTTCCGGCGGCCCTGCCGAGGACCTCGGCGCGAAGGACAATCGGTACTCCAAACCAGTCAGCACCGGGTTTAGGCAGCGTTATTGAACATTAGAGTACCACACGTCCTCCTCTGGGCACGATCCAGTCTGATCTGTGTATTTTTCCGAAATGGCAAGAGCTTTTTTAAAAGCCTGTTCTGGGAGGCGCCCTGCTCACGGGAAGGCGCCTGTCGCGTAACATGGTGGCGACATATCTGGTTGAAGTTCCCATGTTAGAGTGCGTAGAGCACAATGAAACGCAGAAACACCAGTCGTCGTCACAGGTGTTCGACAGCCAGTCACCTGCGGCTTGCAGCGCAGTTCTGTAGAGTCTGGTGCATAACAGACATATTGCTAGTCTGGGACACACGCGAGCCGTCACACGTCTCGCTACCACGTGGGAAAGAGGCGCTTTGAAGGACTTCCTGCCCGTGCTACAACCGCGGCGTAAATGCTAACACGGCGCTGAACGTGGCGTCCACTCGCGTTGCAAAGCAATCGCTGAAGGCCTCTCATGTTTACCACCTGTCCTCAGATTGCACTGTGCAGAATTTGCACAGAGGAGTCGCCTTGCTCGAAAGACCTGTTCCGGACCCCGGGCTCTCACCCGATTGAACTGAGCTGGGGAGGGGGCATCGCCTGCCCCCAGTTCTGGCTGTTTACAGTTGTGGAACGCGCGCGGCTTGCTCGGGCGCCCGTCAGGTGGCGGAGGACTGGTTTAGTGTTTTTGCGACCGACCGTGTCCTTCACATTACTCCGCTCAACTTTTGAGTGATCGTTGACGCTCGGTATGTTTAATGCTGAATTTAGATGACGCGTGTTCCGTTTGATCGCGGCGTGTTGTGCGACATACGCCGACCTAAGCAGGCATGCTAAATGCAAATTGAATCTCGCTCCAGCAGAGCACCGGTGAATATGCTATTTGCTTATAGTTACATTAGCTTTTAAACACGTCCGTTTACATTGAACTTTGCGAGACTTCGGCAATGCCGGAATATTTCATGACTTTGAAACACGTCTGTCAACATTAGCCTCTGCCAGAAGTCGGCGAGGCCGAAATATTTCATTACTTTGAAACACGTCTGTTAACATTGGCCTCTGCCAGACTTCGGGGAGGCCGGAATATTTCGCAGCTTTTAAACACGCTTGTTAACATTGGTCTCTGCCAGATTTCGGCGAGACCGGAATATTTCATAACTTTTAAACACGCCTGTCAACGTGGCCTTTGCCAGACTTTGGCGAGACCGGAATATTTCAGGCAGGACGGTTCACTTGAGTCAAGCGGCTAGCACGAGAACATGGTCATTTTGGGGCGTTCAGGCTGTAGCCTGCCCGCCGTGTTTCGACGCGACCCAGAGCTCCCGTCGCCGTCAGCTCTTCCCGAGCCAGAGCTCCCGTCGCCGTCAGCTCTTCCCGAGCAGTCGTCGCGCTGTCGAGCGAAGCCGCGGCGTGGTGGGGCGGGCCGCGACGTTGGCGGGATAGCTCTCTGATGACCGAGGCAAGCCCCGGCAGCTGTCGTCCCTGGCCCTGTACTGACTTTGACCTCGTGCTGACTGGGAGAGGTATAAACTCAGCGGGACTGAGGTAAAATTGGTTTCTATATTAAAAAATATATCGATCTTGCTTAAGTGGCTGGGCTCTGAAACCTTCCGCCGTGATGATGGTTCCTGTGGGCATAGGCCGGCTGGGTGACTTACAACGACCTTGTGTCGACCCTGTGATGACCTATTCAGCCCTTTTGCCGACCATGAACCGGCTGTTGCTGGTGTGGTGGTCACCATATGGCCAGGGGAGTCACTTTCTAAGAACAGTGAGAGTAGGGGGAGTGGAGGTTGACCCAAAAAGGTTGGCCTAACCTATCCCAATACATTATTTCTCCCCGGATCTCTTCCACTCGAATTTGCGTCATCGATGGTAAAACAACAATATATATATATATATATATATATATATATATATATATATATATATATATATAATTTGTAGACTCAAAATGATCTTCGTGCGGAGAAATGACGTAACTTAGGTACCTACAAGGTACTATTGCCTACAAAATTAACATGATGCTGATGGTGATGTGTTTAAGTACGTACTACCCGGTATACCAAAAGCTTGATATAACGGTTCTGTATTTATTTAGCCCAGTATTTCCGATCCGCTCGAATGCATTGAGGGACTCAGAAGCCTAGGGGGTGGGCGGAACTCAGGTCAGCTTAAGTCAGTATGGGGGGGGGGGGGTGATGCCCCCGGAAGCCTACGAAGTGACGCACCTGCGTACGACCCATTTGGCGAACTGGTGACCTACATCCCCTTCACGGACGGTGCACTGCGCGCGCCTGTACCGTGCTGACCGTGTGCTGACCTTTAACTGACCATGGGCTGACTTCGGACTGACCTTGTGCTGCCCTGCCTTTGCTGACCTTTAACTGATCGTGGGCTGACCTTGTGCTGCTCTGCCTTTACTGACCTTTAACCGATAGTGGGCTGACCTTGTGCCGCCCTGCCTTTGATAACCTTTAACTGACCATGGGCTAACCTCGTCATGACCTTGTGCTGCTCTGCCTCTGCTGCCCTTTGGGTTGACCTCGTGCTGACTTTGTGCTGCCCTGCCGCAGGTACGGCGTGATGCGCGAGTGCTGGGAGTACTACCCGACTCTGCGGCCGACGTTCACGGAACTGGTGGAGCAGCTCAACACCATCCTGGCGTCACTGGCACCCCAGGTGAGCGGCCCACCGAGCTCCCACGCCCTCTCCACCTGATTCGTACAGTCCGCGTTGCGCCGATCGAACCGTATTTGGCGCGTCACACCGGCGCGGAAACTGCTGGAGCTGATTGGAAATGTCGGTCCCATTCCTGGATCCGTGATGATTTTGGCGGAAGCGCTCGTCGATAGCGAGGTATCGCAGGCTCTGGCTGATCGGTGAAACCGTAGCTTGGCGATTTCTCCCGCGGCGCTATTATTTACCCCCGTCGTTTGCAAGATGCTCCCGCCAGCCTGCTGTCAGTCACCGCTCGGACAGCCCGAACACCCCGTCCACAAGGCCCTCGCCAACTTGCCGAGCCGCTGTCGTTTCTGAGTCGGCCGGCTGACGTCGGCCGGCCACGGAGCTGGTGATGGACGCCTGGCCCCTCTGACGCCCGACCTCACCCCGGCAGGAGTACCTGGACCTGGGCGTGCCGTCGCCCGCCGACTCGGCCGAGTCCAGCCGGGACGTTTCCGTCGACAGTCAGTTCGAACTGTGTAAAAGCACAGCCATGTAGGCGGCGCCACCAGTCGCCCGCCGCGCGGCGCCACCGGCGCACCTAGTCAGCGGCGGAGAGCCTCCCGCGCGCGAGCAACCTGCGGCCGCCGCGCGGTCAGCTGTTGTGTAAATAGCGATCGCGGACCCTCGGTATGCCATGTATTGCTGCGTGTCAGTGGGTGGAGTGCGTGTGCGAAAGAGCGTCGTGTAAGATACCATGCGCGTGACTTGCCGTATACATATAGCTGCCATGTAGCCCTGGTGCCTTGCCTGCGGGCGTTGTCTATGCATTTCGTGCCACTTCGGCCCCGGGGAACACGTTCAAATGGTGGAACTTCGTTTCCCGGTGCGCTAATGTTACAACTAACCGTGCCAATATGCCCGTGAGATCTTGTGCCATATGTTTTAGCGCCGTGTCGGACGTGCGAAGCATTGTTTTAGTTTCCTCCGGGCAACATGTTTTGATGTCTTGATCCACTGTTAATACTTGGTAGGCCAGCGTAGGTGCTGCACTGAGAGATGAGCGTCTGAGGGTGAGCTACTCAGTATTATTTATTTTACGGTGGAGAGTGTTGCCGGTTGGGCGTGCTTGGACGTGCTGACGCCGGAGTTGGTCAGCAGTGGTGTTTGTAAACCGTGTTGCCTTGTCGGCCCAATACCTCTAGTTTTAGCCAGGAGACGTCGTGCGGCAGACGAAGTGTCATGAGCTTACCGTTTTCTTTTTTAAAGAGCAAAGTAACGATTTTGTGTATGAGATTGACAGGACATCTTTGTGTTGGTCGCACCTACAAAGCGTTGGCTAAATACTCAGGCGCGAACGCAGGCTCGTTGCTAATAAACTCGCAGACCGACCACCGTGTGCTGCACCGCCGCACCATAAACCACGCGCTTCTCTCCATGCCCACGAGTTTATATACGTCCTGATGGACATCTCAGCCCAGCACGGGGTACACATCACCACTGTGGCCGCCCCGGCCGGAGGCTCGGTCTGAGCCGAGCGGACTGCTGCCACCAGTGCGCGAAGACAGGGGCGGCACCACGTGCGTCCGTGCGCTTTGTGACGGAGACTACTGCGAACACCGCGGACGGGGCGACACCAGCGCGTCCCGCCACCCACCCGCGCAACCCCGACGGACACCGCGGGGAGCTGGCGGCGAGCGGCCGCGGCGCTGCATCACACCGACTGATTAATAGTGGACAGCCGAGACTCTGAGGGCGCCTGGCGCCCGGCCCGCAGCGCCGGCCGGCTGAGCTCCGGGCGGCGGCTGAGGCGGCCGGCCGCTGAAAACCACGCCCCGCAGACTGGAGGCCGCGCCAGCTGCCGGCGGTGTCGACAGCCGGCCGGTCCTCGGAGCGACCGCCCGCGGGCCGTGCGCCCCTCTCACCCCCAGAGCAGAGCGTCATATAGCAGATATATAAGCCAGGTATTACCCCGCCCAAACGTGCGGCAAGACGAGCGCCGCGCGAACACATCAACAGTTATCACACAAGGAGCACGAACGGAGCAGCCTTACGTCACGTGATCGGCATGGCGCACGTCGCAATCCGGGGACGCACGCCAATCTTTTGTACCACATAAATAAGTCGTCTTTCACACAAGCGCGGAGGCTATCACGGCGGCCGAGCGGGAGACGAGTCCGAGATGTGTCTGGTTCACCACAAACCCGCCCATCAAGCGCCCGGGAGAGGTGCGCCCGGTCCGGCGACGAACCCGCCCGTCGTGCGGCCCGCAGTCTCGCCGATGTCCCGTTTCGGCTATCTCGGTTCGACGCGGGGTCATTGACTCTTGAGTCGTCGGTTTTCCTCGGTCAGCGAGGCAATCTCTTGACCCAGCACATTCATGTTGTCCTGAAACAGCGGGAGCCCGGATTACCTCTGGCGCGTCATTTGCACAACCAATGACGCCAGCCGAGAAGCATAACGAAACGGAATGAACCACCCCCGGGGTTCACGCGAAGGTAACGCCTTCGCCGTCCATGCAAACACAAAGCATGTGTCCAGCACATGGCTTATTGCATCAGCACATAGTAGCATTCTGTGGCCGAGGGCTACTCGCAGTCAGCCGGACTGGGAACGGCAGCGGCCCATGAAGGCGCCCCTATGGCGGCCTGAGTCATGCGACGGGAACCACGCGTGACCGCACACCGCTAGCGTCGGCTCACTTTGAGGGTCATGTTCTTGAGGAGCGTGTCCTCCAGCACCGACTGCAGCTTCTTGTTGATCTCGAGCGACAGGTCGAGTGTCATGGCCTGGTCCCTGGCCTGCGAGCCGTAGACGGACGCCATGATGCCGCCCTTCCGCATCAGTTCCGACTGAAGGCGGCGGGAGGGGAAGGCGCGTCAGACGAGGCGGAGTCGAGAGATCCCACCGAGAACGCCGAGCGGAGAACCGAAAACCCTCCGCACCTCACCGACACCGGGGACGCAGCGAGCAGGTCTCAGAACCTGGGCACAGGCTGCAAGTAACGAGCGACGGCGACACTGCACGAGGTAACCAGAGAGCGGCAAAACGTGCGTAGCTCAGGATTTAAATGCCATGATCATCATGCGTTTTGAAGCCAGCGCAAAGCAGCCGGCAGGAGACTACCAGACCAGCGCAGTGCAGATCCTGCGCACCGGCGGCCACGTACCACGACTTTCCGGGCCCGTCCAGTCAGCTGCGTGCGGAGAGAGGACGTACCCATAGTGTCACTGGGCGCACGGACAGTTCCAGCACAGCCCCAGTCCCCATAGAGGATGCACCCATAAAGTCACAGGGCGCACCGACAGCCCCAGTGCGGCCCCAGCCCCAGCAGAAGATGGACCCATAAAGTCACAGGGCGCACCGACGGCCCCAGAGCGGCCTCAGCTCCACAGAAGATGTACCCATAGTGTCACAGGGCGCACCGACAGCTTCAGCACGGCCCTAGCCCCACAAAGGATGCACCCAGTGCCGCAGGGTGCCATAGTGTGGCAGGACGCACCGACAACTCCAGCGGGCCCCAGCCCCAAAGGATGCACCCATAGTGTCACAGGGCGCACTGAGAGCTTCAGCACCGCCCTAGCCCCACAGAGGATGCAACCAGTTTCGCAGCGGGCCATAGTGTGGCAGGGCATACCGACAGCTTCAGCGCGGCCCTAGCCCCACAGAAGATACACCCAGTGTCGCAGGGACGCCATTAGTGTCGGCAGGACGCACAAACAGCTCCAGCACGGCCCAGCCCCACAGAAGATGCACCCAGTGTCGCAGGGGGCCATAGTGTGGCAGGACGCACAAAAAGCCCCAGCACGGCCCCTAGTCCCACAGAAGATGCAGCCCAGTGTCGCAGGACGCTTTAGTGTGGCAGGACGCACAAACAGCTCCAGCACGGCCCAGCCCCACAGAAGATGCACCCAGTGTCGCAGGGGGCCATAGTGTGGCAGGGCGCACAAACAGCTCCAGCACGGCCCCAGTCCCACAGAAGATGTACCCAGTGTCGCAGGACGCTTTAGTGTGGCAGGACGCACAAACAGCTCCAGCACGGCCCAGCCCCACAGAAGATGCACCCAGCGTCGCAGGGGGCCATACTGTGGCAGGACGCACAAACAGCTCCAGCACGGCCCCAGTCCCACAGAAGATGCACCCAGTGTCGCAGGACGCTTTAGTGTGGCAGGACGCACAAACAGCTCCAGCACGGCCCAGCCCCACAGAAGATGCACCCAGTGTCGCAGGGGGCCATACTGTGGCAGGACGCACAAACAGCTCCAGCACGGCCCAGCCCCACAGAAGATGCACCCAGTGTCGCAGGGCGCTTTAGTGTGGCAGGACGCACAAACAGCTCCAGCACGGCCCAGCCCCACAGAAGATGCACCCAGTGTCGCAGGGGGCCATAGTGTGGCAGGACGCACAAACAGCTCCAGCACGGCCCAGCCCCACAGAAGATGCACCCAGTGTCGCAGGACGCTTTAGTGTGGCAGGACGCACAAACAGCTCCAGCACGGCCCAGCCCCACAGAAGATGCACCCAGCGTCGCAGGGGGCCATACTGTGGCAGGACGCACAAACAGCTCCAGCACGGCCCCAAGTCCCCACAGAAGATGCACCCATGGTCGCAGGGGGCCATAGTGTGGCAGGACGGCACAAACAGCTCCAGCCACGGCCCATGCCCCAACAGAGGATGCACCCAGTGTCGCAGGGACGCATTAGTGTGGCAGGACGCACAAACAGCTCCAGCACGGCCCAAGTCCCACAGAAGATGCACCCAGCTGTCGCAGGGGGCCATAGCTGTGGCAGGACGCACAAACAGCTCCAGCACTGGGGGGGCCCAGGCCCACAGTACACAGAAGATGCCACCCAGGGTGCGCAGGGGGCCATAGTGTGGCAGGACGCACAAACAGCTCCAGCACGGCCCAGCCCCACAGAAGATGCACCCAGTGTCGCAGGGGGCCATAGTGTGGGCAGGACGCACAAACAGCTCCAGCACGGACCCGTCCCCAACAGAAGATGCACCCAGTGTCGCAGGGGGCCATAGTGTGGGCAGGAACGCACAAACAGCTCCAGCACGGCCCGCCCCACAGAAGATGCACCCAGTGTCGCAGGGGGCCATAGTGTGGCAGGACGCACAAACAGCTCCAGCACGGCCCAGCCCCACAGAAGATGCACCCAGTGTCGCAGGGGGCCATAGTGTGGCAGGGCGCACAA